TCTTTTCACCATTGAGCAACTTATTAAAAAAAAAAAAAATCGTCACCCTAGTAGACCCGCCGCAGTCTGTCCACCATTCAACATCTCGCCCTTACAAAGCAGCCCCTACCGCCGTCGCATTTCACATGCGTCCTCACAGCAAACCCTTGTCGAGGAAATCTCAGACCCGAAGTTCTCCGAGCAGCAATAGCCGCGAGCTTCAAGGCCATGCGCTGCCATCACCGAGATCCACCCACCCCGCAGCCTAGAAGTAAGCAGCCGCGACCCGCTTTCTGGCAACCACCCATCTTCCCCGAGTAGTGCAACCGTCCGCGCGAGGAGCTTATTACAAGATCAAAGATGTTTATATGTTGTTTATTTTATGTATATATATACACTTTTTGGTTCTGTTATCGAATTATTGCAGAATCAAAAATGTTTACATGTTTATTTTATGTATATATATACTCTTTGTTCTCCTGTTATCGGGTTATGGCATAATCAAAAAATATGTTTATATGTTGTTTATCTTATGTATATATATGTACAACTAACCCAACCATATATATATATGTCAAGAATCCGTTGATGATAATCCCGTTTTCTAAGCTTGAATTCGTGAATTCCTGAATTATAGGTAATCATGGTTGTCATGTTTCTTCTTTATTTTTCTTTTTAATGTGTTGGTCATTTTCTTTGCGGAAAAGGCGCGTTTTCTTTGCGGGATTCCGCCTTTTGGAGAGGACTTTCAAGATATGGAGAGAGAAACAAATTTGCTGATTGAAAATAAATCTCGTACAAATGTAAAAGAAATCAGTAATTAATCCTATTTTGATTATGTTTCACACAGATTGTATTTATGTAAATATATCTACACTAGGGGTCATCTATGTATTTTTCCCGGAATGAATCATATTGTACTAAACTATTAATTCCCAAACATCAATTAATTAACTAGCATAACTCGAGCATCGTGATTCTGGAATGTATCATCGGTTTTGCTATGAAGTCAACAGTTGGCTCAATAGTGGAGCCAACCTTCTATATACGACAAATAAACATACCATATCAATAGAATTATGTTAATATTATTTAAGTAATCAAATCATATATAAGATTTATTTGTCGTATATAGAAGGTTGGCTCCACTATGGAGCCAACTGTTGGCTCCATAGCAAAACCGATGTATCATATTGTACTAAACTGCTAATTTTTCAAACATGAATTAGTAAATTGCTCATAACTCGAGCATCGAGAATCTGGTAGCGAGATAAAAATCTCTCTCTTCAATTATTTTCTTCTCCCCTCTCGTCTCTCCGTTAGAGACTAAGTTAGCTAGCAGCCACCTCGCCTCTTCACGACAGTCGATTTTTTTTTTTCGCTCTTTCTGAACAGCGGTGAAGGAAAGCGTCGTGGCTCCTCCACGGTGTCAAGTGTTGGCCAACGCTCTCCTCGCCCGCTTCTAAGGGTCAACCGACATCGGGGCTACCTCCTGGCGTCCGGCGTCCTCGACCTCTTCTGACTGAAGGCTAGTGTCGAGGCTCCTCCTCAGCGTTCGGGGGTGGCTGGAGTCTCCCTCGCCCCTTTAGACAGAAGGCCGGCATCAGGGCTTCTTCACGGGGTCCGGTGGAGGCCGCCATCTCCCTCGTTCTCTTGCGCAGAAGGACAATGTTTGTGCTTCTCTCTGACGCGCGGTGGAGACCAACGTGTGTATGAGTTGTCATCCTTTTTTTTGTCTAGATCATCTCCCGTTGGCAGATCTGGACTCAAGTTTCGACTCCTTAATAGATCTTTTTAGTCGTTCCTAGTTCAACTGAAGTTCTTACGTTTGAGAGTATTAGTTTCTGTTTAGGCTTAAGGTCTTGTAGGTTTGTCAGTTTGGATGGGAGGTGATCGATTCGTTGCAGAGTGAAGTGGGATAGGTCTTATTATTTGATATTTTGTTTTTGTTCTTATTATGTTGTCAGTCTCCCTTTATGGAACGTCTGTCTCCCTTTGTGTAGTATTTTGTCTCCATTGTTTTGGAGTTTTATTTGGTAGTGTTGTCCCTTTTGTGGAGAGAGAGCTCTTATGATAAGTGACTCCCTCCTAATTCATTTCTCTCTGTCACTTGTCAATTAGAATGATCATGTAACTATTTGGTTACTGATTGTATCCTTATTTGAGGTTATTATAATAGCATTTGGCGTTTGAGGAAAGAACAACTCAGAGCATCGTGAAATAAAAAAAAAAAAAGCATTATTACCAGTAATATCACCACCTTACATTTTTTTGAAAAATTTAACCAAATTTTTGAATATTAGAAAATAAAGCATAACCTTGTCTACATATAGCAACTCTAACTCAAATCTCATCGACGACAATATTTTTGCCAGCGTGTCCGACTTGACTCCTACGTGGACAGATACTCCGGCAGACATGGTAGCCACTTAATAACATGGTAAAAAAAATGAAAATAATATAATTGAAGGATATTTTATGAAATAAAAATGGTTCAAGAAGGCAGGCGGCTAAGGCGAGGCTTTTTCCAACGGGGCTACCTGTGGCGGCACGACCATGCGACTGTTGCTGGTCGACGGTGATCCTATTCTTCTGCGCCATCGACTCAACCTTTATGTGCATCGCATGCGACGCTGGTGCCCACTATCGCAGTGCACTCGCATAACTAGTTGTGCGATGTCTACGAGCAGGCCCAACCCCGCCACCGTCACCTGCTGGGGGGACGTTGTCGCTCTCTACTCTATCTACGACCATGAAATCCACTCTGCCAACCTCCTCGCCTTCCGTCACGACCATGTCCTGGCGATCCTCTCCTACGACACGGCGAAGTACGCCCTTAGAAAGGTTCGTCTCCTCCGTCTTACCGCTGACGGTCGATGGCAGTCACATCCTCAATTCGTGGATCGACAAGCTGCAGGAACCGGGGGAAGGAGATCTGAAATCCATGGAGCAGGAAGCAAATGATTTGAAATCCTACAACGAGGGAACGACGATCTTGTTGGGTTCTGTTAGGAACGTCAAACAACATGCACAGTATTGAACTTTATCGAAATAAATCCTAACGCAGTGGAATCTATAGTTAGGATATGGACGTTTACCTTTTAA